TTTAAGTGCTAAAAATTCATCAGGAAAGATATTTGGACTCTGGGATGTCAGTACAATGGCCTTCACATGTGTTGTAGTAACCGTTAACTTGCGACTTCTTATGATTTGTAATTCAATCACAAGATGGCACTATCTTAGTGTTGGTGGAAGTATAATAGCATGGTTTATTTTTGTCTTTATATATTCTGGGATCAGCACTCCTTATGATCGACAGGTGAAATTCTCTCCATCACAAAATATACTTTGGTACTTCGTACCCTTAGAAAAACTTTTAACTTATGTTCAATTATATTTACCTCCAGGAGAATCTGTATTTCGTCATATATGTCCTGATGAGTACATTATATTTCTACCTCACATTAGTTCTCGTTCCTATTGTGGCACTTTTTGGTGACTTTGTATACCAAGGGTAAGGTTTAAATTTGAAGAACTCATGATTCTGTCTATGCTTGTTATTGATGGAGATATCATTATGCTGCTGGGCTGCATGAATCTAGTTACAGAACAATAGACCAAGATACGCAAAGCTAAATCACTTTTGCATGGAAAATTTTCATTCACAGTTATATGAAGCCTTCTATTAAAATATCTAAGTGAGTCATGTTTTGGTAGTCAACCTGTTAGGACCCAACCTGGTGAGGTTGGGAGGTTAGGACTTGGAAACTTAATTTATGAACAAACGGAAGTTGAGTTTGGTGGTGGGTTAGTTAGTTAGTTAGTAAACTACAGGCTGTCAGTTGGGCAGTTAAATAGGGTACACACTATAATTGAAGTTCATTCTGGACTAATCAATTACCAAACTCAACTTCCGTTTGTTCATACATTTAAAGTTTCCAAGTCCTAACCTCCCAACCTCACCAAGTTGGGAGGTTAAGGAAGGAGGAACCCTTGGGGTAGTCTCTCTCTATTCTTCAATTCTTTCTTTGATTTTCAGATCTCTCTGGGTTTTTGTTTTCCCTATTCTTCCCGTCTTTTTCAATTCTCTTTTCTGATTTTCATCTCCAGGACCCCGATACAACCTATCAAAAAAGCTAAAAGGTCTTGGTTTCAAGTTTCAACTTTCGAGAACCAATCAGTTCTTAACTCTGGATGTTTAAAATCATTCCTAGATTATGATCTCTCACAGAAATCAGTATTTCACTTTGGCACCATAATCAATTTATTTTATGGATGTGACCCACACATGACAACTAATTGAAAATCTTGTGTCAAAAGGAGTCTCTGTTTCTGTTCCTATTACAGGGCTTTTGCCTTTATTCAGTTTATTACTTCTTCTGGTTACAGGGTTCAGAGATGGTTCTTCCCCTACGACTATCAAGTTATTCAAGAAATGCATAATGAGATTGATGACACCAGCAGGACACAACTTCTAGAGATAGGAAACCAGCTTACTCCAGCTGAGGCTAGGAGCCATGCCATATCTCAACTCCCACGTGAGATATCAAAGCACACCGGGTTTGCTTTTGATTCACCTGGTTATGAGTCATTTTTTGCTGCACAGCTTGGTGTATATGCTCCACAAAAGGCATGGGATGTTGCAAGGCGAGCTAGCATGAGATCCCGGCCAAAGAATGGACAGAAAAAGTAATTTTGTACAAACCAAAGATAAAGTAATGTGGAGTAGGATGATTGTACATTTACTTAAGCTTTGGTTTTTCTTTTGAGAGCCAGCCCTAGGAGATTTGTAAAATTAGCATGTGGCATATTAACTATTGGTATTTGGTAGTTTTCATTTAGGTATATCTTGTCATTCTTCCCTCTTTGTCAATTGTTTCTTTTTAGGGAAGTGCGCAGGTTTTCCAGGATTGTTGCAGATGTATATTCCACAATTTTTAGTGGTTAGCCAGTTTTCTTAAATTTAGTTGCAATTAATACTTTATTCATCTTTAATTTGTATTAGATTTAGGCCTTATTTAGATAATTTTCTCCATAAACATTTGTAGAAAAAGTAGCTCATGCTTAATACAATTTGTAAAAGCTCATTCATTTAACTTCTCTAAAATTAGTTTTAATTTATACATTAAGTTAATTTTAACTTGCAGAAAAATATTTTATTTTACTTTTTTTCTCTATAAGCAGAGAAGTTTATCTAAACAAGGCTTTATTATTTTTGTTCTGGATAATATGCAGACTATCAGAATCAGATTGAAGTCAATCCACGAAGAGTTGAATGTTCAGAAAACTTTTCATTTTGTAGTGGTCACACAACAATATCGTGCCTGGTGCAGTGATGGGAAGTTTGTTAAATAGCTAATAAGCCAGGGCGTGTCATCGCTGGATAGTTAAAAGCATTCTTTAACGATGTAATTGGTTGATGACATGATAATTCTTGCCAAGACGTTCCAAAATTATTTTTTGTCCAACAAAGGGAAACTAGATAATCTCAACACGAGAATGACATTCATTTCAAGTAGTCAAAAGATGTCACGTAGAAGATAACGGCATGTTACTCGTTTTTCTATCTGGCAATTCAGCTGAAGAACTTTATTCACACACATGGGTCATCTGAAACAAAGTTGAAGAACTTGGCTAATTTTTGTGAAACAGAGTATTGACTTTCATCTAGTGATCCTTCGTCTCCCTCATAGTCATCATCGTCTTCAAAAACCAATTGAATTCTACAGTTCTTCAGCTCCAGCCCCTCAATAAAAGGTGGGTTTCGCTTTTTCAAATGTAAGATATATTTATCTTTTAACTGAAAAACTAACGGAGACCGAACTCCAAATCTGCGCAAAAATATGTGGTCTTGATTTGTCCTGGGTAATCCTAGTAAGCGAAACGTTGTGCTATATACATTATCAGTCAAATTGAAGATTTTTCCTTGAACATCCACTAACTCCAGTCCTTCTCTTTGGTTTTCAGGTATATTATTGAAAGAGAGAACACCAAAACAAATAACACTTTTAAGCTCACGGTTTCTTCGCTTGGAAAAGACAACTGGTTCTGCTGTAAACCAATCCGGGACTCTGCTTCCAGGCATAATCAAAATCTCTAATTTTTTAAGTAGAACCTGGGACAAAATCTACGTCATGTGATATATAGCGAACATTATAAGCGAATATGGTTGGTTATTACGAGAAATGAGAATAAATGAATGTTGAATATTATATTTTATTTGAATATTAGAGGCAGCAGGATGGGATTATGGGGTGGGGAGGAAGGAAATATGCATCAAGAGTTGAGACAAAGGAATGACAAACCTTGGAAAATCTCCTCTTTACGGCTAGGGAACATCCAATGCAACCACTCATGTACAACCTTCTTAAGGACTTCAAATGCTCAAGACCTGGGATATCCATCACCTTTTCACAATTCGTAAGGTTCAACTCCTCTAAGCGCCCCAAGTTTGAAATATCATATATGTACTGTACTGCAGTACAGTTTGCAAGATGAAGCTCTTCTAGGCTAGAGGGAAGAGGAGGCAGAAACATGAGCTCCCTGCAATCTGACAACAAAAGTTTTTTGAGATAGGAGAGACCTGTCATGCTGGCTGGAAGACTGCAAATATTGTTGTGGCCTAAGCTTAAAATTTCCAGTGATGATAGCTTTTCAAAGTCATCTGGAATTTTTCCATATATTCCCCATCCATGACCATTTAGCTCTTCCAGCAAGGTTAGATTGCAAAAAGAAGTTAATATTGCCTCTGAATTAGGTTCTTCGTGTTTGTTAGGAATTATGACCCCGGTAGGCATGTTGTTTCTAGCCCCATTAAGATAGGGCCTTCTTTCCATGTCTAGTTTTACCAGGCTTGTAAGCATCCCAAAGCTATCAGGTAGATGTGTAAGTGCTGTTTCCTTCATCGATAACCATCGCAAAGATTTCAAATTTCCAATGGTGTCTGGAAGCCTTTGAAGCTGTTTGCACATGTCTAACCTCAACCGAATAAGATTTTCCAACATTTTTGTTGATTCTGGCAATTCAATAATGTTTGTCTCATGCAGGTCCAAACTGGTAAGAGCTGACAGGCAGCCAAATGATACTGGTAGAATCCTGAGATGCTGACATTTTCCCATCTCAAGCTTTTCCAGCATTTGCATGGCCGCAAACATTTGATCAGGAAAATTGGTAATTTTTGTCCTATCTAACTGAAGCTCAACCAAAGAAACTAAAGCCTCTATTGACACAGGCAATTTGTCAAGAATATTACAGCCTCCAACAGACAGTTTCCTTAAATATGATAAAGAATCAATAGAAGCAGGCAATTCTTTAATTCCACTCCCGTTCAAAAACAATTGAGCCAATGCAATAAGTTTTCCAATGGAGTTAGGAATCACTGAGAGTGATCTACATCCCATCAAACTAAGCTTCTCAAGTTTTTTCAAAGAACCAACAGAATCTGGCAACTCCTCCAATACTGTATGGTTGAGTGACAATTCTTGCAGGGAGCAGAGTTGCCCAATGCAGGTAGGTAACCTCTTCAGAGAGCGGCATCCATTTGTGCTTAGCTTTTCAAGTTTTGTCATGTGGAAGATGGACTCGGGTAGCTCAGTTATAGCAGTGTTATCAAGAAGAAGTTGTCTCAAAGAAACCATGCAGCTTAAGTCTTCCGGTAATGCTTTCAATTTCCAGCAGTCGGAAAGAATAAGGTCCTCGAGATGTTTCAGCCCAGAGACATCACCAGGTAGTTCCATAAGGTTATAGCAGAGGCGCAAGTTCAAGTGAACTAAGGAACATAGATCTCCAAGTGATTCATGAATCCTAGTTAAATGAGAGCATTCTTCCAAAATAATTTTTTTAAGAGATAGATAACCAGTTAAATCAGGAGTTTCTGTCAAACGGTGGCAACTGGAGAGGTTTAAAACCATCAAGTGCTCAGCCACCTGGCAAATTAACACCACCGTTGATAAATAAATAAATAAGTAAATATATATATATATATATATATATCATTAATTG